ATGTCACACGATTCTGTGATATATGAAACACTTTCTGAGCTACGAAAAGTAAATTGCTTGAAACTCTTGAAATTCAGTATGCAGCTTTTAGAGATAGAGTACACATATGCAAAGACTGAATGAGTCTCAACATAGAGCTTATCAAAGAAGCGCACCAGTTCAAGTTGTCACACTCCATAAAGTACACAAAGGAAAACAAGACAGAAAAAAGAGATTCGGAAGAATGATAAAAAGAAATGTGAGGAAGAAAGAATAGAAACATAGTATAACAATAGGTTTTTGGATATGGCAGATGACAAAGAGTGAATGCATCTGTGTGCCACTGAGAACGACTTTGAGCCATATCGCCAATTATCTCCAGCCACCATTTCTTAGGATCTCGATCACTCCAAACAAGTAATCTATACACCTCTATGTGGCTCAGACTCACTGTTAAGGATTTCATGGAATGATGCCATGTTTTCGTCTGACCACTACTAGCTCTTTTCCAACCTAATCCTATGTCAGCTAATATAGCCCATCGGGGAAGGAGACAGCTATGTGCCCTAGCCATCTCAACCGATGTAGCTTCACAATCTCATCGATAGATCTCTTCTTCTTACCCGACGCCTAGCCTCGATATTACTGACTATATTACACCACCTAACACGGATGATAGAACAGACACATATGATCGAAGACAGCTAGCCTTTTCATATATTCCACTTTCAGTGGCCATGTCTCACAGCTATAAAGGAGGACACAGCAAACTGCTGCATAGTACATATATCCTTTGACCGATAGCCGGATATCACGTCTATGTCAGAGAGGATGTGAAATGGTAAATGCCTCACGTGCCTTTTGTATCCACGCTGAGATCTCGTAAGCAATCACTTTATCAGGTTTCATGCAACTTCTCAGATAAGGGAAGTGGTCAACATGCTCAATCACTTCACTTCTTGTCTTCAGACCAAGAGTCGGTGCAAACCAGTGCTGCTGAACCGCCTTACACTTGACAGGGACGAATCGCATGTCAAACATTCGAAGACTGCAACCCAAGGTGTTCAGAAGACTCGGTATCTCATCAGCGTCTTCATCTAGAAGTAATATGTCATCCGCATATTTTAATTCGATAAGACTATTTATCCCCTGGTGACAAGTCAATCCATAAGTAACTGAAGTCAGTTAGGGTCAACTCCTAGTAGTACATCTATGATGAAATTAAACACAAACGGGGACAGTGAGCATCCGTGAAAGACATCACTGGCTGTTATCACTTCAGATGGAAACCCTTCATAAGCCCTTACACAGCTGTATGAGTTCGTGTAGGTTACCCTGATTAGTAACATACCATCTCGGCCAAACATTACCGTAATACATCCCGGTCGACAGAGTTAAATTCCGCCTTTACGTCAGCAAGTTCTCGTGAACCAACCAAAGAATTGTTTATAGGATTCCATCATGAGCTGACATCAGCTTGAGTAGCGCCCGTTAAAGAACCAGAGAGTATTGGACAGCTGTTTCGTCCCAGATTGGGACTCCTCAGAAAGTGCGCACCCATCGGGGTTCGAACCTAGGACCTTCCGTAGAAACACAACATACACCTATGTCTCGAGGTGTGGGATTTGTGTCATCTAATTAGGCAAAGGGTCCTGGCATACTACGCTACTATAGAAAGTTGGTGATGTGCTTTTTAATAGACTACCATTAATTGTTATCCAATTCTCGTTGTTATTAGAGGTCGCAGAGTCAAAGAAAAGTAAAGTGCTTGCCTGTGGAATGGTATTAATAACAGCAGTAAAGCAAGATTATGAGAGTAATCAAGATAAGGGCGAGTAATGAACAGGGGAGCTTTGCGTGCCAATACAAGTGTGCAAGCAGTTATTACTTCAAGTGTAAGTTGGTTTTTCATAGAGTACCTGGAACAGGAGAATTAGTATTGCGTAACTGGACAGTTTAGTTACAGATGGCCTGTTTGGTGTCTAGGATAGTGTCCACATTAAGATGGGATGTACAAATTACGGAGTTAACCTTTCCTAACCATCCTCCTCCCCTAGAGCACAGAGGTAGCATGGCTGGCGTAATGGTTATTTACCAGCAGTACAACTGCAATCACAAACCCCTAAAATAGTGTAAGAAAACTACCATGACGGTCCTTACTGCATTTAGTGAAACCGCTCTCCTAACGATTTTTAGCGCATCGTAAGACCTGCAGTAATATTAGTTACAGCCAACGTAGGTTGTCTGCTCCTTGCGATATGCAAACCCAACCATCAGACCAAGGCAGGAACTATGAATTGGGAATGAATTAAGAATTTATCTTTATTCTCTCACTTCTGCCAAACTATCAGAGGCATATGAGACTGCAGAGTAGTGCAATCATACAGCTCTGTTAAAACCGACTTAAGAGGTATGAGGAGATAAGCAGGTCTGATAGACAAAATAACTCAGAATTTCGCATTGTAGTGTGAAGAGTCGAAATGATCATCTAACGTCAAAACGAAAAACAAATGGTATTACTAGAAGTCACAAGTAGCAGTATGACGGAAAGCAGTAGTGCGTATACACATAAAAACTATACTACTTTTGAAATGTCAGAAGTCTTCTTTACCGCCTATTATCTACCATAAGGACAAACCTAGAATGTTATGTGACTCAGAGGATAACGAGACTTTGATCAACGTTAATTCCTTTTGGGTTCCTCACATGCGTAGAGGATTTACAGTGATTAGGGATGGGTAATACATGACCTAAACGGTACAGCCACTGAAAGTCCAGAGACACGCTAGCCGACTTCTAAGACATTTGCGGTTGAATATTCAAAGACTCCTTAAATTCCTTATGCTTCATCATGTTTTAGTTACAAAAAAACATTTTTGAGTACACCTTAGCCTTAATACATTTTCAGTTATCTCACAGATATCATGAATACAAAAAATCCAATCCAGTCACATGGGAATGTTGAACGAAATAATAGTGAACATGAAAATTAAAATGATAAGGAATAAAACAGCTTTTCTATCAATAATATGAGTAAGCGAGCATGTAGAAATATAGCTGTTTTTTAGCAAACGCGTAATATGAACGAACTAGACATTTCAAATTATTTGAAGAGAAAGATGACAGTATGCAACGCGCCTCTTCTAAACTTGAAGACTGTCCCACATAGGTGCAGTCTTGGTGTTCACCATCACTCATACAGAAACACCGGATGACGGTGAGTAATGACCACTAGTTAAAGTTAAGTGTCGCAAGTTTTAACTTCGTCAATTTGGTTGATCGAAAACCGGACTGCTCATCAAAGGTTTGCTCAAAATCTCAAATGTTCTGACTATAATTTTTATCGACCCCCTTAACAACCCTACACAGTTGGTGTTTATCAAACATTGTAGGTGCTTTAACTATTTCTTTTGCCTGTCACATCTCGCATTCATGAGACTTTCACTCCGGTTACGTTCAAGTGACTCACTCCACCACACTTAGGAGCAATTAAGTATTATGACGAGACTATGAGACTGGAGGTTCCCACTGACTTTCGCTAACCGTCAACTATATTGCACCAACTTTCCGCAAAATATTCTGAACACTACTGTCTGACATCAAAATACTACCAGCAGTGTATTATTACATTTCTTACCTACTACGTAGGGTGAGTTTAACTGAAATATCTGAGAGAATCCCATATGACCGGGTGTCTTACATAGCCTCTCCTGAGGAAGTCCTACTCACTGCCTTCACGTGGCGGAGGTGTTTCTCACCAAAGTGAGAGGGCGAAAGCGGATGCCCGGCGCTCTCCACCGGGTTGACTGTCCATTGGATGACGGTCTAGGGGAGATGGCTAAACCCTGATTCCAAACCTCCAACGACTGGCGTATGAAGCTCACTGGAGCTCACCGGCAGACGTATGGACAAAGGGCTTGTTGGATGTCCTGGATGTCTGGCCCCATTCAAAAAGGCGTATGAACCGAACTCCGGTCACCGGCTGCCAATGGATAGTGGACTCCTTACTCCACTCCTACTGCCTTGTAGGTCACACTTGGATGTGTGAAGGCTAGAGCTGCACTCTCAAACAAAAGGCCGGGCGATGCTGGGGACATCACTCGTACCAAATTCCCATGAAACTTCATGAACTCTCTTACAAATTGCCGCGCCTGGGCAGCGATGATTCGAGACGTTCATGAAGCCGGCTCATCCTCCCGTAGGAGATAGCCGAAGTAAAGTAAAGTAAGTATCTGAGAGAATCTCCACTTTATTCTCTCATTTACAGGAAATCTATCTCATTATTAATAATCATAATAAGGGTATGAGGAAGAAAGACACTGACGTTAGTCGTCAAACAGCTGAAGTAAAACTGTGTGCTGCCGTATCCTTTTCGAAGATGAGTCAAAGACTTCATGATATTAATTTTAATTACCATGCACCAAAAATTCTCGTTTGGAATGAGCAGAGTATGATTAATTTGAGGAAGTCGTGTGAACACTTGACAGTTTACAGAAAATATTATTCAAATATTAGACATGAACTTTAATTTTTATAAACAACCAAATGCAAATGGAGTGTGATAATACAGGCAACGCGATAACTTGCAAAGTGGCTATGAACATGAAACTATGGAAATGTTAAAGAACGAACATACAATGACGAGTAGGATACAAAATCTTGCAAGCTTATATGAATATATGAAGTATATCGACACAGTGGATTTAGTGAAATAAGCGTTTACATAAAGAATGAAAGAAAAAGCAAATAAAGAAAAATTCATTTATCATTAAGTATCAGACACATTGTCTATGCTGAGATCAGTGACCTACAGGAAGGATGAGTAGGAAATGTGATGTGCATTTCGGCTGACAGGAGACAATACAATTGACTGTTTCGATTTCTATAAAAGTCTGGTATCCATTACTGAACATATAATTAGACAAAAATTCTCGACGACCGGGCTGCCGAATTAACAGATAACTAATCAGTCAGCTTATGATGCCTGTGATATGACAGGTGTCTGATGAACAAGGAATGAACTATTGTTGAGAAATCATTTCAGGTACGACTTCAGGAACAATATCTCCAGCAGCGGGCGCGACAAGTGACTGGACAGCAGGCTGATCACTGGAAACAGTGGCCTTATGATGGGTTTCATTATCCACTGTGCCGTTAGCTTTTGAATCGTCTGAAGTTTTAAACTAGTTAAAAACAGAAATTACCTTTAGCAAGCTCTTTTGACTCAACAGTGCCATTTAGGTTGTTGATAGCGAATTCAGATATAGTCTCCGTCTTGGGAACATTTTCTAGGCCACAGGCTAATTTCTCACTTTCAGGCTCTGAAGCAATTATCTGTTTGATTTCCAAACTGTTTGCGGCTGGGAGCTCCTCTCTATCTACCTGGACAAACCCAACTAGCAGTTGGCCGTCCTCACCTTGAACAGAGATAGCTGCCTGTACTTCTGCGCTATCAGCTGATGGAACTGAGGTATGCTCAACAATTTCAAAATCACTAGCCACTGCGTTTATTTCTTGAGTGTGAGTTATACTTGGCGATACCTCACTTTCCTTTTCATTAGAACTCGACTGATCTACACAATGTGCAGATACAGTCTTGTTATCGCTGCTTGTTTCTTCAATGACTTTAGCCTTCTTCTGGGGTATTTCAGTTTGTTCGAGAGTAGTTTCGGTATCCTTAACAAGGTTATCAATACCATTCATTTCTTCCATGCTATCTTCGCTTTTAACCTGTGACTGCTGAGATTCGGTATCCTCAGAAGCCAATTTCGTTGCTTCAGTAGACTGTCGCTGGAAAAGTGTCAAGCTATGAGTTAACTTACTTTACGGGGAGACTTGACTGGAGACTTGGTAGGGGATGCCGCCTGTGCAGCAGCGATCCTAGCACTAGTGCGTCTGGCAACGGGAGATTCTTCTGAGTTAGAATTGGAAGATCGGCGGGGCATCCTGTATAGCTGTGGTAACAGAAAGGCATACACCAAAGGTAATTAGTGTCAAAGGCACAATAAGGGGGTATTCTGGATGCATCCATGTCTAAAATTCCTCATTTATGCAGTGACGACGTGCACCGGGACTGACGATCAACAGACTGGCAGATATTGATGCTTATTGCTTTAACCTGATCCGCTTGTTGTATGTACCTCATAGTTTATAAATGTATCTAACGCTCATTGAAGGACCTGCAATTCAAGTCGTATTGCAGATAAATAGATTACACCCAAACGTTATGTTCTCAAAGTAGAGAGTCATTATGATGTGCTTGATCGACGATGTATAGTGACCCGAACTTCAGCATACCGAAATCTACTGAGACGTAGTCGAGTTACATATACTAGTCACTAACTTAAGGTCCAATAACAGGGTTACAGCTCGTTAGGTATCAGGAGACTTGTCGAAGTGACGTCTGAATTTTTACGGTGATTATAGTGTCAGTAGTCTCGCTGTGGACATTGATATTAAGCGAATCACATGATGCGAAGCTAGGGCTATGAGGACTTCAGACAGTGAGATCGCAGGAGAACGGACCAAACACATTCAATGTACATGTTAAACATGTCGAGAGACAAGCAACGCAGACTGCAGAATAGAAAAGTTTACTAAGAAGCACTAAGAGAATGACGTAAAAACAGGAAATCAAACACTGAAGAAATTAAATAGCCTGGGCTATTTGCTTGGTCTCCCAATTTTCGACTTAAAGTGGAAACAAAGGGCATATTTGTCAGGAGAAAAACCTATGGATGCTGAGGTAGCGATAAGAGTTATCACTACACCTTAATGCATGTGCTCTGTTGATAATCATCCTTTCCTATTCAAGACGCTTTTTGCTCAGGACATTAAATAAAGACATCAAAATCTCAAATAAATCTACAAAAACTTACCCGTGCAGTAATTGTTGGAGGTAATTAGCGCCTTAATTTGGATATGAAACTCCACTTGGGATATTTAAACAAAACTTTGTAACATGATGGAACAATCTGTAAGTTTTGAAAATTATCCTGTGTTTGGTTTTTCTTAATCCAGATTGAGATGGAAATCACGCAGATGCTATTCCAAAAAAAACCGAGACCGTTTTTTTCCCCAACAAATTTGTGCGTCGGTGGCACAGTTGTTAGGACTCTCGCCGACCATGCACATTGTCGGAGGTTCGATCCCCTGCCGGCGCACACCTGATATCTATGGTCGGCCTGCGAAATTTGGGCTACCGATATCCATGCTGAAAATTCCATACTTGTACCAAAAATACAGTGTGGAATCAAGCTGTAAATCAAAAATCAAAATCTACTAGTTTTGTTTGAGCAAACCTTCACGTGATAAGCGTATGGGGAATTTGGTACTATTTAAATTTCATCCTTGTTATTTTGTTGAGTTCTCAGTTAGGAAAAAATCACTAATATTTCACCGACATATTTTACTGAGTCATCATAACAACGCTGTCACATGGAATTCGTCCAGCTCGAGAGTGAAATGAAAAAACCATTTGATTGGTCACCAAATGATAGTTGTTTTTAAAAACAGGAGGAAGAGGTAAGCAGTCGTCTGAGGTTTGTATAGGCGTAGACAATCCATTGGCTTTATAGTTCTTCATATGTGAAGGTTAATGGCAATTCATAGTAAAACGATAAAGCCTTTATCCGATGCTAAAATTGCCAGTTCTTCTTATATTGGTAGTGCTCGGTAGTTAGGCGCAAAACTTAAGCCAGTCAGAGGGCGAATAATAAAACATTGTATTAGTGGTGTATTTAGGCTTACTAGCATAGTGGAAATTTTTGCGTCTCAGAAGAAGTCATGTTCCCGTCACAAGTGACCTCTTCAATCGCTAATTTACCTCCCACAGACGGCGGCTGCTATATATTTACGACTGTGAATGGACACAAGGTACTGAGGTCGGGTTGCTGACATCCTCCCTTAGAAGACCTTATAGAAATTCATAACCTAATTTCAATTCAAACTCAATAAAGATATTTGTAGAGAGAAGCACTTCACTGCAATAGCACAACTGGGACCGCAGCTAGTTGATTGTGTTACAGCCTCTTGAAAATACTCCGTCTAGCCAGACTTCCATTCACCCTGATACACGTTTTTTCATTTCCCAGAGGGACGTCAAATATGATGAAACCCTGTTCTCATTCAGCATATCTGGCCGTTATGTCAACATTCGTTATCTACTTTCGGAGTGGGGCACAGGGCCTCAGTAGCAAATATAAATTCCTTCAATTGACCACAGTAAAGCAATCTGAACTAAGCATTCCTGTTATAAATGTATTCCTCACTAGGCGTACTGACGAGCCTCTTTAAATATCCATACACTGAAAATGTTCATGGAAAGAAATATTAATTGTTTGTATTTTTCGATGGTTGTCTGTTCACACGATAGGAAACCTTCTTCACTCCCACTGGAATACTGGAGAAAACATTTGTATTTCTGATAGCTTTGGTGGGGCGCATTCCTAAAATCCTTGCTTGCTGTATAAAAACAGGAAGGTTTAATACTCCAAGCTAACCTCTAACTCTGTCTGAAAGCCTCATCTCCATGAGTTTGAAATTAAGGGGTGGTCAAGCATGAGATGTACCCAGAAATCATCTACCATTTACCTAAAAAACAAGTGTGTGCAGACCATTTTTGTGGCGCTAAAATCCATCTGTCTAAATTTTTCATTCCGTTATATTTATTTACCAACTAATGTGATCAGCATCATACCTTTTCCGAATGTTCGTGCGTTCCGAGGGATAGTACATAACTTGTTGAATCCTTTGGTGTTGATCTACGATTGCAATCACATATATTCCATTGCATTCTATATAATCATAATAAGCATCATACGTGTAGCCTAAATTTTTCCACAGATCATAGTCTCTTAAAAATCCTGTGTAAATGTATATTGTCGTACAGCTCGATAATAGAGTCTCATTTTTGTGTATTGTGTTCCTAATGTTAAAATATTTTCATATTCACTGCCTTGCAGTCATTACTACGTAATCATTACCTTATTATCATGCCTCTTCTAATGAGAAGAGGTGATTTCCACAACATCCAGTTAGAAAAGGTCCAAGAGAGTGGAAAGATATATACGTTGCTTCTTACATTAAGGTAAGCGTCGCTGCTTCAAGACTGTTTGTTCGTACTCATTTGATGCAGCATCTTATCAACCTGGTTAAGTTTGATGCACCTTAGTTTTAACTTATTCACTAGCTTATTTAACCTGCATGCACTAGTAGCTAGACATAAATTTAGAAGGCTAAAATACTCAAGAATGCACCCGTGAAAGGAGGATATTTGAACAGAATGAATATAACTAGGACTTAGGGAAGAAAACTGACCCATTTACTTTAACCGGGCCCCTGTGAATGAGTTTATACTAAGTCGTATCTTTCAGAGTGGATTGAGATTTAGAGCCATGCACCATGACATGTGGTCTTCCTCACAATCATATCAGAGTAGTTTGGTCGTGAAACGTCGTCGAACAATTTCCATTCTCAGCCTGTCACATATGCGAGTTCTGCTAATAATAAATTTGCAGTATATTAATAGTGTTCTAACACATGCTTTGCGCAGTGTGAGTTTGGCTTCATTGTGATATGAGAGTGTGCACCCACCGATCCAACAAAGCTGCAGAACGGAAATTGACAATGTTACTAAATAGGCCGAATCTGATCATTGACTGTCGGGGAAAATACTAGGAATTTTGCACCTCGTGATTCCCTTAGGTTCTACTTTTCTATCTCAGTTGTGGCGATTGAAACTGCGAGCACTTGATTTAGAAAAGTGGCCTTTAGCAATGCCATTTACTATGGTCACATTCGTCTACTGTTTTACACGAATATGTCCAACAGTGTTGGCATTTAATGCATGATAACTATCGGCACAGACGGATATTTGTTAATTGCAGTGTACGCAAATAGGAAGAATTACACTTTAATCTCATCATTTCGCGTAAAAGATGCATGTATAGATGTCGTGGGTGTTTTTTTTATATTTTTCAGTGATCATTGAAGTATATGACCCAGTACACATAAAAATGGCGATGATTATGATCATCCGTAGCAACAATACGTTTCAAGTTTTAAAAACGCAGATCAATTATACAATCCATATTTGCAGTAAAGGAGCCTAATGTTAGGAGGTTACATCGTAATTAGTCGGCGGTGATTTCCATAACAGCAAGTTGCCGAATGCGAGTGAGGATATAGGCCGACACCAGGTGTTATCGCGCAATGCCATCGGTTACCGCGCTCACGTCAACAGACGTTATAATCACCTATTTTTTTGGAAATAGATTATATTTGACTAGTTTTAGACTTATGTAGCCGGATGGCAGTATTTTGCTGTATTTTGTTCTTAGTAGAGCGTAAAATTGTATATTATAGCTCGGACGAATTATCAATGAAGAAGTCATCCTTTTTAAGAAAGTTCGCATAGAAAGACTATTATTTGCATTATAGTGCGTTGAGGGTTTGTTTATTTTCCAGTTGTTTCAGATCTTAAGGTTGTAAATATACTGCAGTCAATGGCTGTTGTCATTCCAGTGAATCTATGAGAATCTGGCCTATGAAAGATAAATAGCATGCAGACATAGGTTAGATGTGTGCTTTGAACATGTTAAACTTTTCTGTTATCATCCGGGATGACTGAAATATTCCATAACACATTGACGACATTATGCGATGAATGAGACAGGCTGCTGAATTTCCTGGTTATTATATCTATTTAGATGAAGTTCCTAGTTAAAAGTGCTTGGGCGAAGATGTGAAAATAGTTTAATTGACATTTGCACATGGAATTTCACAATGCCTTAATTGCTCAGTGCATGAAATGGCATCAGAGTATATTGACATCAGTGTTCATTGTGTCTGGAAGAATAGTATAAATAGTCCTTCTCAAATGTCAGAGTACTTAAAATTAGTACCAGATTTATGTCGATTAGTAGCTGGCGGCTGTGTCGTACAACTACTACACCTGTTACATAGGTTATATCAATCTTAAAAATTATTTTGCTTCACATCACTAAGATATTGTGAGATCCTTAATGACTTAATTGTGGCTATGAAAGATGTGGAAGATGCACTTATGGCTCATATATTTAACGCAGTTATTATTACACAAGTTATCTGTAAGCAACTTGTGATGTTCTGAATACTGCAAACTGTTGATAAGAAACTGCATTAAAGGAAAAAATGCTGAACAGCTAGAAAATACTACTGCAGTTTCGTTGGTTGTTACCTTTAGCATTTGTAACTCATTATTCCAAAGCTGCGATTGACGCCAAACCATCCATGGTACCCCACAGGCCCTATTGAAATTTGTGAGACATCTTACATGTCAGGTTGTCTTCCATATTATAAGGTTGCAGATCTTTCAATTTACCTCTCACTGAAGTATCACTTATCTACTTCACTATGGTCTTTTCATTTGTGCACTATTACACTGCATTTTATGTTAACTGGATATGCCTTTATGCTTACAGTCTATTTGCTTTTATTAGAAACACAACAACAGCAGTGTTGGAACAAAGCTGTATTTTCATAGAAAACATCATATTTTCTATCCTTACACCAATATGGTTGGCATTAAACATTGCAGATGTATACTCACATTCCAACGACATAGCACTTAGCCAAATGTACGGTGTTCATTATTAAGGGTTTACAATTTAACTCTTATAATTCATGATACTTCACGATTGCAGTTTATAACATAACTTATTGCGCCTGTAGAAATGACATGCATTCATTGTAAACATTGGTTTAAACGAAATTTGAAATTATTACTATATGCTTGCTGCTATCCTTTAGAAGAGGAATAATGTGTGTTGCAGTGAAAACCCCAGAATAATGATGTCATTACCAAAGAATGAGAAAGGAGAATAAACCATTTTCAGCAAAGGTAGGCAGATATAAATCGTTT